GCATTTTGCTCCGAACAGCATTCATCAACAGATTGCCTGTGTCATCAATATTACATTTTTTTCCCAGCAAAAACGAATCTTATTCAGCATCAGTGGGACAGCTAAATTTCTCTCACGCCCACATAGCGTTTTTTTTTCTTTTTCTTTTTTCTTTTTTCTTTTTGGTTGTGTGTGTGTGTGTGTTTGTTTTCCTGATCTGTCGTCATGAATTTTTCATCAGCCTCTTGATGAGACATTTCGTGTGTTTTTCTTATAGTAGAAAGCGCAGTAAGCAGTCTTGGGGTGGAGGATATTTTCCACCATCCCACTGCTAAAGTGGCTCTTTGAATACAGGAGGTAACTTTTGGTCCATTGCCCTGCAGGAAAAGTCTCTTAGTAGTCAGAGCACTTTAAAACAAATTCAACAAAACTTACTGTGAGACGCTTTTAACATTAATTTATGTATTGCAGCACAACCAGAGAAATTGTGTTTTTAGTTTTTTATTCCATGAAATGGAAATATCTTGATAACTACAGGACGGATTGCACTGAAATGCTCTTTCAGTTTCTTCTTTCTGCTGCTCTGATGGGGTCACAACAGCAGACCATTCATTTCCATCTCTTTCTGTCCTCTACATCCGTCACACCAACCGCATGCCTCCTTCTTCTTTTTTGCCCAACACCAGCATAGTTTCCACCTCTTCCACCCTGCTGGCCAACAGCAACGGAGACTATCATTTCTAACCTGCCCTCAACTGATCTGGGATAGAAATTTGATTTATAACACACGTATCTGATTTTGGCAAAGGTTTGCGTCTCCTGATACAACTTTCCCCATTTGTCCTAAATGTACTGGCTTGTGCATCTCCAGTGGCTGGGTTGGATTGCAATGAAATCTGGTATCCAGACATTCATGGTCCCCGGAGGATGAATCGGAGGAACTTTCTCACTTGACCTTCAACTGGCACCAACATAGAGTCACACTGTTTATTCGTTCAGTTCTTTGATTTATGACGAATCTCCTGCAAACTAATAACGTCCCAATATATATTACACAAGGCCCTCTCTGCCTTGTAGCATCTATTTCTGTTTGCATTTATCTGGTTCTCTCATTTGAAATTGCATTTTGCACACTTTTCCATCTATTCTTGCACATTATTTTTACTTTCTGTATATTTTTGCATATTTATCTGTATTTACGGTGGTGGTAACTTTACTCTCTCCACTGTCAATACCGGATTTCTATCTATCTATCTGTCTATTAGCATGTTAGCATGCTGATGCTGTTAGCATATAGTGCAAAGACCCATTGTGCAGCCTCACAGCATCATTAGCGCTACATTTGTATTTCCGTGCTACATCGTGCAGTACGAGGACCGCAAACTGGGCTCGTTAAACTCATTTTTCTGTCCAATGTGAACAGGAATATATGCCTGTGAGTGGAAGCAACATGTTAAAAAACAATAAAAACCTGAATGTTTACTTGTTTTTTTAAAGCAGCAATTACTCAGTAGGGGTGACTCCAGCTCCGGCTCATGAAATTGGATGACATGCGGCAAACACACGGTCCCCTGAATCCCCCCTTGTTATCTACCTTGTCATCAACTAGCTCCGACTACCTCTTCATTAAAATAGCTCGGTTCTGTCTGCATTCCCTTCATGTCATTTCAAGGACAGTAACAGATAAGTCTCCCTGGAATAGCCTAAAAAAAAAAAAAAAAAAAGAAGTAGTCAGATGTGATGAATTTCTGTGAGCTTTGCAGACAAAGAGTGAAAGAAAAAAAGAGGAGAGGCAGATATGGTGGAAAAAGAATCACCTCATATCTGACCTTTCCTCTAAGCTAATTTGAAGCGGAGTGCATTCAGACACAAACCAATTAGGGCTGAGGAAGGCTGGGGAGAGGTCAACAGGCTGGCTATTATCTGGCTGTGCCAAATATATACCTGGCGAGATCTGGGGCAAGATTTAGGTCAAGAGAGAAAAAAAAAAAGACCTGAATCGGACAAATGTGGTCTGTAGGTCAACGGGGCCGGGTGGATGTGGAGAAGGGAGTGGAAGCTGATTTCTAACGAAGACTCCGGCGGCCACTCAGGAGGAGGTCGTGCCGCATGTGTGTGTCTGTACATCCACGTGTTACTGTGTGAGTGACTTTTGGTTCCCCACGGATCATAAAACACTTGAAATCCAACCGGCGAAGTGTCACAGTAGCTGTCTGTAATGGCTGAGTATGTGCTGGAGTTAGTGTGGCGTCTGGGGAGGAACCTATTGATGTGAATGTGTCGCTCCCCCCGTCCTCAGACATGGAGAATAGAAAACCAATTTGTGGGACATTCGACCCGACTAAGGTGGGACTAAATGACCTCACTAACAACAAAAGCAAGACCTTCACAAAACTGCATCCTTGAGTAGCGTCGCCTGAAATTCATTTGCGGGCTATACATTGAATTGTGTGACCTCTGCAGCAACCTTTTCCTGACCGTATGTTTACAGTACAGCCTGTGAAGGTGTGTGTACTCGACGACATCGGTATGCCTGCGCCAGTCCGCAGTAGCGATTTCTGTTTGGTCTAGACAGCCGAGTTAGCAGTCGACAGCAGCATCACCTGGAGATTGATTCTTCAATAAAGAAGGGTGGGGGTTTGAAACTTGCAAGAGGTTCACTTTTTTTTTGATCCTCACTGTTCAAACCTTCAAATCCCACATGCAGATGCGTTTTCTGGCAGAATGAGACTTCACAGAGTATGTGTACTTAAGATAAGAAAGGGCGCTCATTGAATGTGGAAATGTAGTGAACTATATTAGAAATATATGCTGAGGAACAAAGGATAAGTTATTGCTGTGTATAATGTGATTTTAATGTCAAATTGAGGCCTAAACCACATTTTAATGAAGAGAAATCCACAAGAACTCAATGTTAGATATGATTTGTGATCCCTTAAACATTTTAGAAAGGTGGTTAAGTTAATTAAATGATGCGGTGTTCAATCTCAACTTCTTGGGCTTACATTTAGTTTTCCATTAGCTCAGTATTGTTTAGTACAGTGACTCCGTTAGATACATTTTGTGCATAAGAATAGGTGCAACGTGGCCAAGTGACAACACAATAAGCCACTGGGAAAAACAGTTCATTACTTTATTTGTGTTGTATATGACCACCAGGGAAATCTACTGAGGAATAACAGGACCCTTCTTGGGAGGAGCCTTTATTGTACCGCTTGTTGATTGATTTTCAAGGTGCTATTGTCCTGTTGGCACAGGGGCATAGTGCCACCAGAACAAAAAATGAGCTATACTCTGTGATGACTGAACAATAGATCATGTCTTTGTGTTGGCCAGATTTTTGTTTTGCTCGCTATTGTGAGCAATTTTGTTCACATTGGCATTGTCATTTATCTACATTTGTTTTTAAAAATGGTTTAAAGCTGAAGCAATCACTTTCCTGTCGCTATTTTGAGCATGTATTAATTGCGAAACTAATTATTTCTTTAAAAAATGCTCAACTTTCTTCAGTTTCGCCGTTTAAAATATGTACATTTACTGATTTTCTTGGTCTTTTTAATTGTTTAGACTGCTGTTATTTGGGATTTTAGGATTTTTACTGTGGTCTGACTTAGTAGACCAAACTTTTTACTCAATTAATGAAGAAAATGTGTTCATATTAGCTTTTAATGAATGCAATCATGATGCCTATGCTTAAAAGTGTGACAAATTTCATTTTTTAAAATCCATGTGCACCATCCTTTGCACATAGCTAGAGGAGCATCTAACTCTAATTTGGGGCCTCAATTGGCAAAATTATATTGTACAATCAGCATGTATAGAAAGTTAAATGTCCATCCTGTTTGATCAGTTATAGGTTCAGGAGTTGTCGACTCTTAAAGAGTTCAAACTTTGCGTTTTTATTGTAGTGAGCTCATGTTAAATGAGAATTGTGTCATAAGAAGTCTGCAACGTTTCAAATCTCTTACACTTTTGTCTCATGTGTATGAATAAATATATGTTTACATATGATTCAAGTATCACAATTTATTACAAAAACTAGAACTTTTAGTCATCTGTCGGTGTTGCCATGCTTTAAGCATATAACAATACAGTATAAAACCTCAACCCAAAAGTAGTATAGTAAAAGCAAAGATCATAGATGCTGACGCAGCATTACAGAAGTTAAGACATGCTGTTACTGTACAGAGAACATTCCCATTGAAGTACAAGCATCTGTAAAATGCGCCACTGTCATCAATGAGTTGCATTTTACAATAAACAATCTGATTCATCCCCATTCAAAGTGTTACAATAAAACGCCTCTTTTTTTTGGAAATTAATTTACAAGAAAATAAATTACAAACGCACAAACACTCTGCAAATGATAACGAATGTGCTGAGATACTTTTTCAACAGCCCAAGGCACTCAGGCTCAAATGTTGGCAATAAATATACGTCATTCTTCACACGAAATCACGTCAAGCAAGGTGGTGGGAGGGAAAGAAGAGTGAGAGAGAAACAATGCTGTCTAATTCATAACCTCTTGAAGAACTCATTCCTTTTAAAGAAGTCCACCTTTGCCCTTTTCACAGTGAAAAATCCCTGGCAGTCGAGACAGAAGAGACATTTGAAGGAGTCAGTCATTTTTGTTGAATTGTGTGACATCTGTTTGCTAAAAACTACATGACCTCCTACTGTACTTTAGACGCTGGCCTGTCATTTTGGTCTCCCGAGAGCGACCTCTGCTCTCCGGAGTGGCATCACCTGCTTTTTCAAAGGAGAACCACAAGTGGACCTGGTGTGCATTGGAGCGCCACAGGATGCCCAAGTGTCCCTTTTTCTGTCCCACGTGAGATTCTGGTTTAAAAAGAAAAAAATCTATCAAATTGTCCACAAATGATGTTTTCGAATATCTATACCAATTCCCAGATGCTATTCACTGAAACAATCTCCTCATGAGCTTTCGAATTAGTTTACCGCTGCCGTGACGACGGTGAGCTTTTTTAGCAAAAATGCATCGAGTTTCTTTTCCCTGCAGTTCAGTTGAGCTGGCGACAAGCTTCGAATGTCCACTTCGAGGCACCACCGTAAATATCAAGGCTCGTCTCCATCCACGCAAAAACGTTGCCCACTTGAGCTTTGCTGCTGCAAGTCGCTAGATTATAAATCTCTCCTACGGATAGTTTCCTATCCCAGATGTGAAAATTGGCCAAGTCTCCAACGAAAGCTTGTGTGGCATCGAATCCTCCTCCGAGTGTGTCCTGCAGGGAAGACAAATGGATTTAATCAACGATGATAAGGACGTGTCATGAAAAATCTCTTTGATTATCTGGATGTTTTCACTGAAGAGGAATCCTTAATGATCTAAGATCTAATCATATGATATAAAAACAGCCAAGGTTCAATGGCAATATTGGATTTTTTTTTTTTTTTTGATGTCACAATAAATGGAAATACATTTTCCTTGCTCGTAATTGCCAGATATCAAAGTGACATCTCTGGCAATCTCCTATGCCAGCCTGCTGTTTCCTCAGAAAAACAAAGTTAAAAAGATGCTCTCCCAGTGTAGCTCAGAGCATTTCTTTGTTACCATCATGTACCACTGAAAGGAAAAGCTCTCGGATGAGGAGCTGGAAGGCTTTAAAACACACTGTTTACCTGCTCTTGGCCCAGGATCAGCAGGCCCTGTGGTTTGATGGGATGATAAGGAGCCAGATTTTCTCCACTCCCCCTCTTGACACCATCTTGGAAAGCTTCCCAAACACCATCACGAGTGGTCCAGGTTACACAGATATGATGCCACTTTCCATCATTGATGAGGAATGGCAGCTTTGCAACCTTTAGGGGAGTTTAAATACAGGAATTATCTTCTAGTATACATGTCTTACAGTTTAAAATAAAACACATCCTCTGTGTTTTGGTCATACCTTGTCATTTATTAGTATCTCCATTGGGTTGTTTCCCCACTCTATGAGGACCAGCTCGTTGGCTTGCCCAGGTACTGCGTAAGAGAAAGGTGTGCCCACTCCTGGGGACGCGTTGGACTTGAGCCACATGCACACGGTGAGGGCGTACATCTCTGGCAAACTCTTCTTCACTTTTGCATACATGTAGTTGGTCCTCAGTGGGAATGTGAGCTGAAATTTATCCAATGGCCTGTTTTCTCTTTGACCTGTGAGGGGAAAAAAAACAGAAAATGTGTATTTTTTTGTCTTTGTTTTCATTCTGAAGCCAAATATATCATGCGTAAAAACGCACATGTCCCGAGGATTTACATCGGAATTATATGTTACACAACAAATCCACAATGGTGTCGCTCCAGATTTTTGTTTTAATCTCGCCTGATAAATCCATCACAGGAGCAGTGACGCTCATCTCCTCATCTGCCGCTGCGTCCACACCTCTTTATTTATAAGTTCCTGCTGCTGCTCGGTGTAAGAGGTGTCCCAAACTGAGAGCACCGTCGCGGTTTAACTTCTCAAATGGCTCACAGAGCAAATGGAGGCGACAGGGCGTTTACTGAAGTGCTTTTTTTTTTTTATCTGAAAGAATTAGAGCAGGAAACTGCCGAATGTACCGGGCTGCTCCAGCTTTGCGCAGGATGAGTACACCATTAAATCGACTGCTGGGCTCATTAAAGCCCATAATACCAAAACATTTAATACCAAAGACTTTTCTGTGCAGTAAAATCGCAGCAATCTGCATCACAGCAATCTGCATCTCCTCGTGCTTGTTATTCCTCATCCTCGCCCCTGTCGCCACTCATCATTTTCACTCATCTGCGCAGAAGCCCGTCAACTCCTTCCCACCTACCTTTCTCCAAGTCGGTGATCCTCTGGTGGAGCGATGTGAGGGTGGACTCCACTCTCCCACGCTGCTCCGTCTCATTCCGGAGTCCGGGCTTCCCTTCTTCGATGCTGTTCACTCGGGACAACACCTGCTTCTCCAAGTCGTCGATTTTACTTTGGAGCAGGTCTTTCAAGCTGTTTGCCTGCACCGAGTTGTTACTTCTGCTGAATTGCTGTTAGGGGTTAAAAATAAATAAATAAATAAGCTCAGTGTAAAGGATAATTCTTAGTGGGGGATAAATCCAGATTAACTTTCATTTGGGAGCAATACTGCAGTGTAGCTGGGCAGGCAACTTCATCTGTATACCTGGCAGCGTTGGCAAATGAATTTATTTCTAGTGTTTACTTTCAGAGACGCATTGTGTGGAATTACTGCTATTACTGCAATACATTTGTCATCGGTGTTTTTTGCGTTTTGCTCGACGCGAGCTTTGCGCAAAGTGTTGGAAATGCCCTCAGACGCAGCAGCCTACCTCCAGATTTTCTAATCTCTGCTTCAGCGACTGTAAAGTCTGCGATAGTTGCGACAAAGTGTCGGCGGGGCCCCTCGACACGTCCCCCATTGTGTTTTTGGTCCCACCAGCCTCTTTCCTCCTGCCCCCCGGCCGCGCGTCCCCGGGCTCGGCGCCGCTCTGGCTCTCGCAGCGAGCCAACTTTGAGGTCAGTTCTCTGATCGTCTCTTTTTGGTTCATGATGGTCTCTTTCTGCTGCAAAACCGTCTCCCGCAGCTGCATGACCGTGGTCTTCAGGTCCTCCCCCGGCACGCTGTTCTGCAAGGTTGCTGCGCATATGTCCATATCCTTGGGTACGGACGTGCAAATGAACTGCGTCTGTCCTCCGAAGTCTTGAGACGAACTCCCCAAAAGCACGCAGAAAAATAGAAAAAGTCTCCAACAGATCCCGTTCTTTGTGGCCTGCATGTCTGCTGTTCTGTGCAGGGTTTGGTTTGATTTTCTTTTTTTCTTTTTTTTTGGTTGATGAGCCGCAGTCACTTCGCGCTTGTGTCCCCCTCCTCTTGTTGTTGTACTCCGACTGTGGCGAGTGCAGCCGCTTTTATACAGCGTGCCCGGTTCTGCGCAGAGCGGGTTCACTGCATCACGACCGGAGGGGAGGGATTCGCGCCTGCCCCCCTGTTTAAACGGCTCCAAAAAAAAAAAAAAAAGCAGCGACACAGTCAAGAGATGAAATCCTCTTTTTTTTTTCTGGCTTTCAGGCTGCCACATGATAAATCTTTCATCACCTTGACTATTTGTCATTTCTTGCCGTGTATTATTCATCTGGAAAACGCTGGATTTGTTAGGAGGAGGAGGAGGAGGGGGTTTGCTCGCGTGGCAGGGCGCCAGCAGAGAGCCAGCTGTGTTTGTTTTGTTGTGGGCAAACTGAAACTCACACTCGGTGCAGGTTAGACGCAGATCACAAGTTGCAGCAGCAGCAGTTTTGCGGTTTTGACGGATCCAGCACCGAGGACAGCTCCGAGCACAGGGAGCGACTTTTTTCTTTTTTTTTTTTTTTTTCTTTTCTGGTGATCCCGGTGCCTTTTGCGCTCTTTAAACATGAGGATGCCACCTTTTCCTTCCAGTCCTCACTTCTCTCTGTACCTTTCCCGATAAACTGTAAATTCAACTTAAAATGTCACATTTCCAGGTCACTTTATTTCCCACAGATCACCTCAATAATTCATTTTCTAAAATGATAATCTGTCCCTAAGCAATTTAGCCATCTATTATTCAGAAAGGACAGTTTTGTTATTATTTCTTTGCTGTTGTTGCCTCTTATTTATTCAGTCGATGGAGAAAACAGAATCTGTGATGAAAACATATCAGATTAAAATTGATTTCTTTGCACACAAGGGAGCAGTGAGAGACAGATTCTGCATGTGACTAAAGCAAATATAAGGTGGAGGAGGTTAAACAGGTTGTGGCATAATTACTCTCATCTATATCAGGTCTGTGAAGCTAAATGGTTTCTAGCTGCAGGTGCCTTTTTTTTTGGTAGGTCAGAAATGAACACTGAGTGATTAAATTGTTGTCAGGAGGAAGAAGCTCATTTCAAAGAGCACCATTTAAGAGCCGGTGCAATATTACTTTATTAATGTGCCAATTCTTTTATTCGTGGGTGGGAAATGATTAGAAACAACCAAATGGAGCACTTGAGAGCTCTAAAGTGAGCCCAGCGCTCAGACATTTGCTGTTACGTCATTCTTTTTTCATCTTTTTTTGTCACCTTTTTTTTTTTTTGTCACTACATAACAGATTTTTTGGTTTTAAGACGTCAGTCATCAGCGTGATGGAGGAGAAACCTTAATGTGTATTAAGCAAGTGACATAATATGTGACATAACTTTGTGTTATCTGGTGTTTATTTATCGTCCCATGAACTTTTTTTTTTTTTTGGTGGATTATGGTCCATTTAAGTGATGCAGCAACATCTAAGTGGAATGAAACAGGAGGGAGGTTTAGAGGGCTTTACTCTTCTTAATCCAAAGTTGATGGATGGTCTTTGATAATATGGGAAAATAAAAATAAAATAAAGAAGAAAAAAAAAAGGCTTCTTTTGAGCTTTTTAGTGGCATTGAAGTTCTAAGAAAAGTGATGGTCCTCAGAATGTTGCAGCCAGAAGGTTGTTTATCTGGAGGTTTTCAGTGAAAGGGATGAATAAAGTAATACAGAAATCAGCAGGTCAAGGGCCGATATACCACACGAAACAACTGAAGGAAAGGTTTTTGCTGGGTCAGATTCTAGAGATGCTTTCACAGAAAACCAAACAGTAAACATGAAAAGCAGTAACTCACAGCACAGAATCAAAATAGCGCATTTAGGTGCATTCAGTGTTTCCATGAATCCTTAAAAAGTCTTATTTTTATTTGTAAAAGGTCTTAAACTTTAGATGTTTAAACTAACTGAGACCTGTCTGAATATTTTTTTCAAATCTACCTACAGTTGAAACCAGAAGTTTGCATACAATGTATAAAAAGACACTGAACCTTTTTTTTTTTCTTACTATCTGACATTAAATCAGACTAAACTTCTTCTGTTTTAGGTCAGTTAGGATGACCAAAATTATTTCTATTAGATAAATGCTAGAATAATGACAGAGAGAATTTTTTATTACTTTCTTCAAAGTCAGAAGTTTCCATCCACTAAGATGCCTTCAAACTGTTTGGGAAAGCCCAGATGATGATGTCATGGCTTTGGCAGCTTTTGATTGGTCAATTGACAACATCTGAGTTAATTGGAGGCACACCTCAAACACACTGCTTCATTTTGTGACAACATGGAAAATCTAAATAAGTCAGCCAAGATATCAAGAAGAGAACTGTGGACCTCCACAGGTCTGGTTCATCTTTGGGTACAATTTCCAGAGACCTGAAGGTTCCATGTTCATCTGTTCAAACAATTAAATGCAAATATAAACATTATGGGAATGTTCAGCCATCATCGTGCTCAGGAAGGAGATGGTTCTGTGTCCCAGAGATGAAGTGTTTTGGTTGAAATGTGCGAATCAACCTCAGAACAGAAGCTAAAGACCTTGTGAAGATGCTGCTGAAGCTGGTAAGAGAGTCATTATCCACAGTGAAACCAGTCCTGTACCAACATGGGCTGGAAGGATACTCAGAGAGGAAGAAGACATTAAGAAACTGGAAGGAAGAAACATAAAAAAGCCCGATTACAGTTTGCAAATGCACACAGGGACAAAGAGCTTCATTTGTGGAGACATGTCCTGTAGTCTGATGAAACGAAACCAAACTGTTTGGCCACAATGACCATTGTTACATCTGGAGGAAAAAGGGGGGAAGCTTGAAGCCTGAGAACACCATCCCAACTGTGAAACACGGGGGTGGCAGCATCATGTTGTGGGGGTGTTCTGCTGCAGGAGGGACTGGTGCACTTCACAAAATAGCTGACATCATGAGGAAAGAACATTTTGTGGAAATATTGAAGCAATGTCTCAAGACATCAGCCAGGAAGTTAAAGCTTGGGCACTAATGGGTCTTCAGATGGACAATGACTCTAAACATACCATCGGGTTAGTTACAAGTTGGAGAGGCCGTCACAAAGCCCTGATCTGTGGGAGATTTGTGGGCAGAGCTGAAAAGGCATGTGGAGCAAGGCGGCCAACAAACCTGACTCCGTTCCACCAGTTCTGTCCGGAGGAATGGGCCAGAATTCATCAAACTATTGTGAGAATCTTGTGGAAGGAAACCCAAAACGTTTGACCCAAGTTATAAAGGCAACGCTACCAAATACTGAGGAAATGTATGTAAACTTCTGACTTTGAAGAAAGTAACAAAAAATGCTCTCGCTCATTATTCTGGTGTTTAGCAAATAGAAATAATTTTGGAAATCTTAACTGACCTACAACACAAAAAGTTTAGTCACATTTCATGTCAGACAATGAGAAAATAAAGGTTATGTGTCTTTTTATTCGGTGTATGTAAACTTCTGGTTTCAACTGTATGTACCTGGTTGGCAATAACAAACTTTATCACTGGTTTTTTAGTGGACTTGCCTGTTCCATCTTGCATTTATGTAACATATTACATAGCGTACATCATCTCCCACGTTCACAAACCTTGAATGAAAGAGATCTCTGTGTGTGAAAAAGAGGCCTTGCAGAAAAAAAAAAAAAAAAGAAAAAGCTGAGAGTACAGCAGGGACTAAGATGGCAGAATTGATTACAAAGTCCAACACATTGAGAAGATGCTGCATGGAGAAGAAAGAGGACTTAGGAAACCGAGAAAAAAAGCTTCCGAGCTACAAGATGCAGCAAAAGGATGTAATCAGTCGGGTAACGTACGTCCCATAGTGTTGAAACAGTGAGTAGAATGAAAGGAAACACATTTAAAATAGAAAACTTTCAGTGTAAAGTATGTCACTGCATCATATAATGAATTCTTTGGGGTTTTGCACAGAACTTTGTGGGAGTTTGTCTTATCGTTTGACTTTTCATTTAGGCTTGATTCACTGTACTGAAGTTTCATATATGGATTTGCTTTTAGATCCTGTCATTTGAATAAAAAAATGGTCACACATGCTACAGTTGAGCTAAAGTTCTGCTGGAATTGTTGTTCCTTTTTCTTTGTTTGTGTCTGTTTATTGTATTACACTAACCTCTGGATTAGGTTTCTGAGCCTTGTTAGGGTGATTTTCCACTTTGTTTTCATCATTCCTCGTATTTACATCCATTGTGGGATTCTATAAACTTTCCAATGACCCATTTCTTTTATTTCTACTATATGATTAAACATAGCGAGTTTGTATTATGGGAACCTGCCTATTGAGAAGGATTTTCATGAGGAAGTTTACACCGAGAAAAATAATGGAGATCTACTATAAAGTTAAATTTTTATAATTATTGTCATCATGGATGCGTAGGTATTTGATAAAGTTAATTAAAACTCATCTATTTTTAGACCAGATTGTGATGTACTTATCGTAAATTGTCGGTTTTTGATGGTGGATTGTGCCTTTTGATTAGCTAAATGCATCCAGCTTTATCTGTCTGACATGCTCTTTGTTCTTCATTTTTTACCTATTAAAGGTCTGAGAACCCAAACGTTGCATTTCCAGTAAGGTTTAGTACAAGTAGAAGCACGGTGTTTGTCCATTCTCTCTTCTTTTTTCTATGTTTAGGGCTTAAAATGCTCTTAAAAAGTATTAAAATGTGATGTCAAAACTGTGCATCAACCCTGTGCATTGCCATTGCGTAACAGACCTATCACTGTATTATAGGTTGTGCAACAAGAAACCATGCACCCTGACTCTGTCTGTGCACCTAAACTTGCACGTCTTTGTTCGTAGTTATGTTCCTGCAGCAGATCTGAGGACCTGAATAATGCATTTCGAATAATTTTAGTACAAGTAAGAGGACAGTGCATGGGCTTTTCTTTTCTTTTTTCTATGTTTAGGGTTTAAAATTAT